AACTTTGTTTCTTAGTGGGGAAAATATTTTTTTTTTTACATCTATTATAGTCAATTGTGCTTGTTGCTTAGAGATAAAATAATCTATAACTTTGTGATGGTGAAGAAAAATATTTAATATTTTTAGAAGCAATATACGATAACTCAATGTGAATACGTTGAATACAAATAATATTGAGCTTGATTATTTAATTTTAAATATTATGCATATGTATAAATTATGGGTCATTCATTTATAGCATTTTAAGTTAGTTTTTTAAATGTGAAGAAACTAAAACTTCGTTGATGGAGAAGAAGAAAAGTATATAAATTTTTTACATCTACTATACAATAATATAATGTGATTATGGTGATTAAAAATAATATTTAACTTGATTATTTAAATTTATTTATTACCCACATATATATATATATATATATATATATATATATATATATATATATATATATATATATATATATATATATATATATATATAGATATATATATATAGATATAGATATATATTACGGGTAATTCAATAATAGTCTTTTAACTTTGTTTTCTTAATGATTAAGTAACCTAAAATATAGTAATGAAGAAGAATAATTTTAAAGAACTTTTTTTCGAATTCATATTTTAATAAACTATTTCATATTCATGCTTATTTCTTACCAAATTCAAGCTAACCATTCCTTCCATTTCCCAAACATACCTTCCATTTCTGACAAATATATCAAACTAGTTAAACTAACCTACGGTTGAAACTTCTAATAAGAGAAACAAGTAAACCCATTATCAAATCCATTTTCCTTTTTATGTGGTCAATCTCTAATTGAACCTAGAATGATCTTTTCACATCACGACTATTTTACAAACTAATTACATGTGATTCCTCGTCCCGTAACTTGCCTCACGTCTGATTACCTCCAATGTCTTGGTAAAGTTGCAACTGATGAAGGTTTGATCGAGTGTAAAATACCTATGTCACGACTGTATACACCCAATGCCTATAGATCATAAATAAACCCCCCAAAATTATTTAGTTCGAATATAAAAATCTATGGTTAGTTTGCAACTTCTATCTAGGAGCAACAAAAATATCTGCATAATTTCTATTGAGAGAGACGTCAGATATAATAGAATTCATAGTAGATATCTCATTTATTTTATCATCTTGAAACATGAAATTGTTCCTACAAAACCAAATATTGTTAAATATATAATTATGGCAATAAGGATGACAAGATTGCACCGACCAAACCAAGATTAGTGACAAGAGTTGAGGATATGTTGCATAAAACTTGTGTCAACGAGAATACCAATGATATTATACAAGCAACTTCAAAGTTTAAAAGCAAAATAACATAAACAAAAAAGATGTAAAGATGAAAGAAACATGAAAGAAGCAATTATTACAATGGTTTAATTATAATTTATTTTTAATTTTTAATTTTATAATTACGTGTCAAAATGATTCATTCTAATTAAATGACAGTCTAAAATAATTTTACACTGACGGTGTATTATAATTAATCTCTTAATTAAATATATAATTAAAATGTATGCACTACCAATATAAATTATTTTATACTAGACTTAATGCATCCTTTGCTCCCTTAATTTCAGGTTTCACTTTACTCCCTTATGTAATAAACATTAGTTCTGAATCCCTTAAATGTTATTCCCTTAATCATATTGGTCTTATCCGTTAAACTTTGTCAAATTTCGTTAACTTGTGTATGCGTGACACTCCAGCTGACTAAATTAAATGACATGAAATTATTTTATTTCATATTAATTTAAAATTTAAAAAACAAAAGAAGCGTGTACAAAGCAATCTTTTTCTCTCTTTTACAAACCCTAGCCGCCACCTTTCTCGCTTCTTCCTCTCTTTCTCTCTTCTCCTTCGTTTTTCACTTTGATCTTCAATGCTTTTGTTATTTGTCAACTAAGTTATCATCCTCATCCTTTTATTGCTTCTATATTCATTTTCATGTCAAAAAAGGTTATGGCATGATGAGATTTTATGTTATGCTGCTAAATCTCCTGGATGCTTTCAAAATGCAGATCTTCAACGAATTTAATGCTCGTAAGTCTCTCTTCTAATGTGATTTTGTTTTCTACGCGCCGATTTCGAAGATTTCATGACCGGTTTCCACTAGGGTTAGGTTTAATTTCATGAATGGTAATTTGAATTTCATGCATTTTCAGTTTGTTTCGTTCTATCCTTTTTCTTCTTTTCACATGTATGACTGAGTTAATAAAATTGTAATACTTTCAGGTGCATTGATGCTGAACCATGAGAATAAAAGGGAAATTAACTCTATGACTACACCGTGAACAACTTCACTCATTACTAGATAAGCATGGTAATTTTTTGACTACAAAGTGGTATACATAACATCTATATGTGCAGTGTGTGGATGCAAATTACGTAGATAAGCCATGATTGTCTGTATTGCAACTAATATATCTCCCGCTCTTCTATGTGTTCATGTTCGTACCTGAATATAATGTAATTTTGTTCATACCTGCAATTTTCAATCAAAATGATCTAGTTTTCGTTCTCATGGATTTAGGGGTAAATCTGGAGTATAAAAATGCACAAGGTAATACTTTCCCTTCCTAGAATCTATCCAAATTAAATTTGTTTTGTGTATGATATATTAAGCATTTTTTTTTTACAAAATTTGAATTAAAAGTGATTTTTGTGTGTGTATACCCTCAATATTTGAAAGTAGCATGGAAGGAAAACCAACTTTTGCATACGTTGATAATAAAAAGTGTGTTTAAAAACTTGGAGATTTTTTATGTTTTTTTTCTTTCTAGAGTTCAACAATTGAAGAGTTTGTTCAGGATCAACAATTGAAGAAATTGTTCATTTAATAGAGGTTGAGCTAATCAAGATCAATTGAATAATGTCCAGGATGAATGTGATTCTTGTGACTGAAGTCATTTCATTCTAGTTATATTGCTCTATGTTTTTGTATTCATTATTCATGTGTTTTTGATAGGAAAAAAATCAGAAGAATTTTGATTTAATGTATGTTAATATAAAAAAGTTTCAATTTGGTACTTTAACTATATATATAGTCTCAATTTACTCCTTTTAGAGCATCTTTAATGCAGATTTTTAATAGTTAAATTTTTTTATAATTAACGATAATTATAAAGAATTTGCATTGGAATGACTATGACATAACATTTAATTCACTAACTTTTAGTTTCCGGTAATTATATAGCTAACGTATGTTATTTATTTTGAAACATATAATATTATTATTTATATTATTAAAGTCTTGTAAATCCTACAAATCACTTTGGGCTCACACAAATATTATTATTTATTTTATTAATTACAATTAAAAAATATAAAATATAGGGTCAAATTTTAGTTTTTTATAAGCAACTATCATTAAAGTAAAAACAACTCAAATCAACTATAAATTTTTTAAATCCTATAAATCACTTTGCCCCCACAAAAAATATCATAGTTTATCCACATATGATACTCTCACTAAAGATACTCTTATTAAATTGCTAACTCAATGCCACATATGCACAACTTAACGTTTTTTTTATAAAATTTGACAGAAATGACCAACTTAACTAACGAAATAGCTTTTAAAAGACTAAAATATAATATTTATTAAATAAGAAATTAAAATAAAAATAAAAATAAAAATAAAATTAAAGAATTTCAACACTAATTAAACCTTTATACAATATCCAATAATCTAATAAAAATTCACAACGTCTTATATAAAAGGTAGAATTGATCTAATAAAAAACTTAAAATTAAACAAAATTAAATCAAAAGATAAAAAAGTTATATTTAACTCAATTAAATAATTTTTTTAATAAAATTATGCGGTTTAATTCAATTTACGATTTATATTTTATAAATCGAAGCATCTACTTTTGAATTAAAAAAAGAAGTAAAAATGTGACTCAAAGGTGTATTGGTTAGTTATAACAAGTGTAGAATAAAATAAAGTAAAAAGTGATTAAAAAAAAAGCTCTCTTCACATTCACACGTTACAATTACTCTGCTTTTCTAGATTCGAATTTGATTCCATCTCACACTTAGGTTAAACCTTCTCAGCCTCTAACTGCTTCCGCCATTTCAATCTCACATTCTCAAATCAAATCAGGTTCATCTTCTTCATTTTCGCCATAATTCACGCTTGAGTTTCCTCTTTTTCTTACCTTATTTATATCTCACCTTTCAATTTTGTTTTTAACCTAAGATTCATGAATTTTTTTTCATGTATTCGTGTTGAGTAGTTGCTGTGAACAAGCATTTTACTTTTTTTGTGTGTTGCTGAAGATTTGATGAATTGCTTAGAATTTAGATCACATGAAATTGCTGTTCTGGAATACTCTATTCTGTTTGTACTTTGAAATTTGAATGAATTAAGAGAGGATCACTGTGTTTAATGTAAGGTGAAACATTCCATGTTTACTTGTTACTAGAAATCTTTTGCTAAGCCTATGTTTGGTTATGCCGTGAAAAAGTTGATTTTGAGTGAATTGATTATGTAAAATTGATTCTAGTTAGAAGTGAGTTGAATGAAAAGTGATTTATGTTTGGACAACTTTATGCTAAATTGAGCTGAACAATAAATTTTAATATACAAATCACGTTTAAACTCAAAAGCTACAAATTCTAGCTTCGAGTAGAATCAATTATGGAGGCAGAATTAATTCTATTTTAGGAGAACCAAACGCCTCAAAATCATTTCAAAATCAATTTTACACCTCTAGAGTTACTTTTGGCTCTTCCAAAAGGTAAACCAAACATACACTAAGGCTTGATTTTGATAAGCAGCTTAATTAAGCGCTTATATAGTATTAGTGTTTATTATATAAGTGCTTATGTATAAGTTTTTCTATAATACAAGATAAAGTCTTAACTTAATTGTTCCTATTATCTTTTGGTCAATTTATTTTTCAAATTTCAGCTTGTTTTGCTAAGGTTAAACATGAACTTGAAGTATATTGCGTGGTTTTGCAGAATGTATATCGGGCCTCATGGTGTTACAGCTCTGCATAGACATAAATATAGTGGTGTAGATCATTCCTATGTGGCCAAATATGTACTACAGCCCTTTTGGTGTTGGTTTGTTAATTTGTTTCCCCTATGGATGCCGTAAGTACTTCTTTCATTTCAAGCTAAGGTTTTTTTTTTGTTATAAATAAACTTATTGTTAGTTAATTATAACTTCATAATAATTAAAAAATCTCCTCAGTTCAAGGATGATAAATCACATTATGAAATTTGTATGTGAAAATTTAGCTTTGTTATTCTATGAAACTTTTCTTGTTTTTATACCAAAGCTAAATTCATTCGTGGAGACAAAACCATCATTTATTCTTTTGGTAGACATTTGGTTTTAATTATTCTCTATTTTAATTTTAATTTTTTAATTCACTAACTTCTACATTTTTGTTTTATTTTTCCTCATCACTTGGCATTTTGGTATTCTCCAACATTTTGCAGACCAAACTTGGTAAACCACTGCTTCCATTTTTTTTGTAGTATCATCTGTAATTGTTACTCTTCTTATATTAACTTATAATCTTGGCTCTGATTTTTCTTAAATTGTTTGGTTGCAGATAACTCTGACAGGATTTATGTTCTTACTAATATCTGTGTTGCTTGGCTATGTGAGTGGACCCTGAGTCCATTAATCTTTTTACTTCATAAAGTCAAAGTCATATAATAGGGATAATTTTGCAATGTGTCACAACAATTTTCATTTTGCCAAATCATATATAATAAAATACAATTTTCATTTTGCCAAATCATATATAATAAAATTTGGAGTTTGTACAAACGAATATATAAGGTATCCTTAAGATTGCTGTTGATTTCATGCTTTATTGAGTTTTTCTCCTTTTGCAAGTGTTTCTGACATAGTCATGGAAGGAAATTTGGATATAGTGTGAATGGCTGTGTTGAAACAGTGAATTCCTTATCCATCACACTGAAATTTCATTATTTTTCAAGGTATACTCACCTCAATTGGACTCAGCTCCTCCAAGATGGGTTCATGTTGCACACGGGATACTTCTGTTTTTGTACCAGGTTGGTTATCTTCTCATATTGTAGTGCTTGCTCACTTAGTCTCAACCTTTTGTTAGACCGAGTATATGATGCCTAAGTTTCCATTGATGTCCGTGACTAATTTGATTATTGTTTTCAATTATATACGTGAGGTTATTTTATGACAAGGGCTTATATAAATGTGTTTATAGATATATGTTTATGCCTGTATTTACTTGCTAGACATTTGATGCTGTTGATGGGAAGCAAGCTAGACGAACCAATTCTTCAAGCCCATTGGGGGAGCTGTTTGATCATGGTTATTTTCCTCATTATTTTTTTCATTGTATTGTTTTTCATCATGTATACACCTTTATGTTATTAATGAAGATATTTTCAACTGCATTGCAGGGTGTGATGCACTTGCTTGTGCAGTACGTCTCTCTTAGCTTTGGTTATTGTTTTCAAACCATTAAAAGAAAATAAAGTCAATCATCTATAAGAACTGATTTTCAGCTTGAAGCACTTGCTTTTGGGAGCACAGCCATGTGTGGAAGAAGTACTTTCTGGTGGTGGTTGATATCTGCAATTACATTTTTTGGGGCAACCTGGGAGTAGTAAGTTATTTTGATCAATTTATATTCAATAGTCAATATGTTATATTGCATCGTATGTTTTGTTAAACAACACTACATCCGTCCCTAAACATAAGACCTAATTGACTAAATCATGGAAATTTGAAAGTTGGTAGTAATATTAAATTTGTTGACAGTTGATATTGTTTTATAAATTTACCCTTAAGAAGAGAGAATTAGTTTATGTTTTCATTATAGTATTTATTATAGGTTGTAGAAAAAAGATGTAACATAGTCAGGAATATATTTGTAAAGAAATAGTTAATGCAGTAGAGAATTTGAAAAGAGGTCCTATAAGAATGGACGTGGAAAAATCTCGAAAGGGTCGTATATTTAGGCTCAGAGGTAGTATTATTTAAGCTTTTATTAAAAAGTCATACAGCATTATACACTGCAGTCTGTGGAGCATATTGATTTTCTTATGAATGTTTTGGATGCAGCTATTTCATCAATACGCTTATACTGCCTGTTGTAAATGGACCTACTGAGGGTCTTATGCTAATATACCTTGCTCACTTTTTCACTGCTATCGTGGGTATGCCTTTCTTTGAACTTTGTTTTTTAAGATTATAAATGCTTAAAACTCAATCATATTACTATTGTTATTATTTTTCTACAGGTGCTGAGTGGTGGGCTCAACAATTTGGGAAGTCTTTGCCTTTTTTGAACTGGTTGCCTTTTATTGCGGGTAAGACTGTGTGTCTTTATATGGTGTTCACTCAATATTTGGGACAATGGTCTTCTTTCTATACTTGGGATAATGGGTTAAACATCTCTATTTTTTTAATGCTATTTGGGATAACTATTATACTTGTACCCCAGTTTCATGTATACACCCCCTAATAAGATTATTTTTATGGAGACTAATATTTGTTCATTTAACGGTTTACTATGTAAGAAATATTAGCTCTATCGGCCCATGTTCTCATTTTCAATCCAACTCTTAATTTTGCTTGTTCACTGTCCTTGCTAGTTCAGATGCTTACTTATTTTGTTTTACTCTAATAAAGTGAAGGCTGTGTAGTTTGGATGATGAAATAAATAAGTGGGGTGTGTTCGATATGTTTTCCAGAATGAGCTCGGCTACACAGGCTTATGCTGACATGGTAGACTGAAATTTGAAAAATGATTGTTGGTCTATTTATTGTTAGCCTCATTGCTGTGCAGTTTCTTACTTGATACATCATTGCTTGATTTTGACTTTGTTCTTGATTTCAGATGTCCCAACCTACAGTGCTGCATTGGGTTTGATGGTAGTTTTTGGTGTTATCCCAACTGTCATATTCAAGTATGTATTAGTTTAAACCATTGAACTTTAATATATACTAGTATGCACAGTAAGCTGTTAGTCCTTGGCATAAGATTTCTGAATTTTTCTAAGTCTTTAATCCGAGATAGTTTCTTTCAGGCTGACTTTTTATTATGTTAATAGTTACACTATTAGCATTAATGGGCTAAAGTTGTAGATTCAAGTGGTTAAATCTGAAAATGTCATATCTTTATAATATTCAATAGTACCTTAGATGTTCATACAGGGTTATTTCCTGATTTTGTTAGATTTCTTGATCTCTTTCCATATTTGATTAGGATTTGAAGTCTAGTACTAGTATCACCTCATAATTTATCATAACAATGTAATGTCCTATTATTTTGAACATATAATCCATTCATTCATTTTCTCCTTCCTTTATAATTTGAACACAAGTACAAGTATAGGTTTAAGACATACTTCATTCTTATTTTTTATATTCTTTTTCGTGATATTTTTTGGATGTCAAGAATTCTATTTCTTAAATCATCCATGTAAGCAACAAAGAGTGTACACCATTTTAAGAGCAAATTGATCCCTGGATTTTTGTATATTGTTTTCCGAGTTATTTGATGAAGAGGCCTTTCCAAAAGTCAACATTATCTTTTGCTTCAATGCAGTGTTCGGAATGTTCATAAGGTTGTGAAGGCTAAAAATAGAAGTATGCTCCTTGCATTGGCAATGGTAACATCTTTTCCTATTGGAATTCTTCTCCTGTAATCTGGTTGCTTTTTTGATGTGTGCTCTTTTTTGGGCAGCTTTACCCATTTGTTGTCCTTGTTGGAGGAGTGCTTGTATGGTATATCTCAGTTCATGATGCATAGTTTTTTTTTTCCAGTTGTTTGGAAGATATACACATTTCATTTTTATATATATATATTTTTTGTATATATAAGATTGGGTGGTTTTGGTGCAGGGATTATTTGTCACCTTCTGACATCATAGCTAGTTATCCACATTTAGTTGTTATGGGAACAGGACTTGCTTTCGGATATCTTGTGGTAAGATATCTGCAACTTAAATCTGAAAAAAAATATAGTTTAATACATCATTTATCTTCTCTGCTTTTTATAGTTAACTGCCTTTTTTTATGTCATTATCTTTTGTTTCTGTCTTGGCTGGTTACTCTTCATTAGTGACACTTCTCTTTGGTTCTTTGGAAAGTGTATAGTTTTAAATAGGGCCAGATTAATTAATATAGTTTATGGCCTTGTGTATTCACGCAAAATATAGTTTCATAGAAGTCACATTTTTTTTCTTGTCACCAATACATAATTTGAAATAGGAGTTCTTTGCTTGTCACTATTCTTATGGTAGGTTATGTTCTCCTTAGCTTTTTTTTTTTTTTTTTAATTTTTTTAATTTTTGTTTTTGTTGTATGTATACTTCTAAAATTATATATCTGAGGAAAGCTTAATTTTGCAGGGAAGAATGATTTTGGCTCACTTCTGTGAAGAACCAAAGGGCTTAAAAACTGGAATGTGCCTGGTATTAATTAAGCTGTTTTATTTGGATATTATTTTCGTAAATTCTTTTTAAGATGCCTTTTTTTCTTTCCATATTGGTAAAGTGTAGCTTTAAATTTAATTATGCCTTCATTTGATCCATGTTTTTGATCCCACCTAGTGAGAAAAAGTTTTGTTATTGTTGTTTTCATATCAGAATCTAATGCAGAAATGTATCTTTCATTGTATAATAATAGTCATATCATTGTTTAGAGATGCACCGTTCATAACGAGTTCATCGATGATGGAACGACAACGAACATGTTAGCTCAATGAAAACACTTCGATTATTCTTATTAGCCGATTTCATTCAAGTGATCAGTTGTTGAAGTTTATTACTCCAAGATAATTGATGCAAGTGTTATTTATCTTTTACAGTCCCTCGTGTATCTCCCATTCGCCATTGCTAATGCACTCGCATCAAGGCTAAACGACGGGTACGCACTTTGATTTTACAGTTTAAATTAAGTTGATAGATGTGGCTTATGTTGATTTATAACTCACATATTTACATTTTTGGCAGGGTTCCGTTAGTCAATGAGAGACTAGTTGTTCTTGGTTACTGTGTTTTTACAGGTAAAACTACTTTTCTTTTCGATAAAAAACAGTAAATATAATCAAGTGATTGAACTGAAGTGGTTAATGAACTATAGTCAGACGAATCGTTCACAAAAGTTTGATATAGTATCTGAATGACTGAGTTTAAAATAAAAGCTTAATTTCTGTTGGTTGATAATTCTGTTTCTGCAAACACAGGATCACTATACATGCATTTTGCAACATCTGTCATCCGTGAAATTACAGACGCACTCGGAATATATTGCTTCAGGTATATATTACTAGCATTAGATTATTTATGTTAATCGAGAACAATGTGTTGATTATAAGTGTCTTTGGCTTTTGTTTGATTGCAGGATAACTAGGAAGGAAGCTTGAAATTACCAAGATTTCTTTTGGTTTTTTTCTTACAGGAGTTGTGTCCTAATGCAATTGTAAACAACATTTTTATTAAACATGTGTGTCTGTTTCAAGTAATCTAGTTGCATTCTTGGGAATATATGGATAGGGAATGTGTATTTCTATGCTACTAGGTTGTAAAGTTTTATTCTAAAGTACAAAAGATTCGTAAGAAAGAAATAACTTCCATATTCTCATGCTATCGTTTATTATGTTATGCGCAATTTTTTGTCATTCTATTCTATTTTACATTTGTATTTCTTCTCCTTTCTTCCTTTTTCTTTTTCTTTTTCTTTGAGCAGTCTTATTGAAAGACTAATCTCTTATTATTTACCTAAAAAATTTATTATTTTTACAAAATTTTTTATTTTTTTTTTACCTAAGATTTCAAAATTTTTGGTAGTTGTTTCTAGATTTCCCATGTTTGTATTGAAAATTTCAGAAATTCCAATACATTTTATCGGAAATTTCAAAATATCCGGTGAATATCATTACAATTTTGGCATCAATATTGAAAATTTTAAAATTTTCGATAGTAGCAAAAACTTCCAGAAATTTCAAAATATCTAGTACTCGTGATTAGCGCGAAAAATCAGTTCAAATGGTATATTAGTTTGCAATTTATTGTAACGAAGATTTTTAAAAAGGACAACGACGCATACGTTACTTTAACATAAATGACCAAAGCGTTACAAAAATAACCTAAGGACTAATTTGATATTTTAAAATAATTTAGAGGATTAAAATAATATTTTTGTCTTTTTTTTTTAATTTACTTTAAATTATATTCTTTAAATTGAATTGAATTTAATGATTAAATTAATATTTTATTTAATTAACTATTCCATTAAATCTAAAAATCTATGATTTGGAGTAATTTAAAATATTTGAAGTAAATTGAGTCCCATTTGAGATGTGCTTCAGCATTATCAGCAAAGAAGGCATCTTCATCCTGTAAATATTGACAGATGAGTTTTGTTTTCTTTGATGACCTACTTATCAAAAGAAATCATTACTCACACTATAATATGACTCTGAAAGTAGAAGGAGGGTTGAGATTGTGGAAGATAGAGCAAATGAATACCGCTTGCATTATGAAACTTGTTTGACATCATTACTCACACTATAATATGACTCTGAAAGTAGAAGGAGGGTTGAGATTGTGGAAGATAGAGCAAATGAATACCGCTTGCATTATGAAACTTGTTTGACAACTACCTTACAAGGAAGATGTCTTATGGTGTAAAGTCTTGAAATCCAAATATCGAGTCACGAGCTGCACTGAACTAAGGTGTAAGAGGCGTGTCTTGAAGTTGTGGAGAGTTATTTTCAAGGTTGAAGCGCAGGTACAAGGTCTTGGTAATTGGTGTATTGGTAACGGTTCGAAGACGAATGCTTAGACAGATTGCTAGATCAATTAAGGAGTCATTATTGAGGATATGAGATTAGTGATTCCGATGGAGTGTGAACAAGCCAAAGTCAAGGATATAGTGGATAACAATGGATATTGGCATTGGCAGAAGATTAGTTCATGGCTTCCTGAAAAGATTTTGTAGAAAATTAAGCCTATTTTTCCTCCTATAATAGAGTATGGGGAGGACACCTTTATGTTGACAGGTTTCGGAAGTGACAACTCTCTATCAAGTCCAGCTATGATAGCATCGGTACGATACATAACCATGCCGACAACATCTAGTGGCAGAAGATATGAAACTTGAAAGCTCAGGAGAGAATATGTAGCTTTGTTTGGTTAATGAGTCATGATTGTTTATTAACAAACTATAATAAAAGTCGCAAAAGACTAGGAGGAGCGAATTGCAAGAGTTGTGGGAATGTCATGGAAACGAGGTTGCATGCGTTAAAGGACTGTGCTAAGGTACATCAATTGTGGGTTATAATGGTGTCAAATAATATCAAGGATAACTTTTTCACTGTGGATCTTAAACAGTGGATCAATCTTAACTTGAATGAGAATCAGAATTGGGCCAGTCTTTAGGTCAGTGAATGCCATAGCTTCTAGACTTGGAGGAATAAAGAGTATCATGATGTTAATTATAACAGACCCCTGTTATTGGACAAATATATCCTTAACAGAATGAATGACTATGTGGAAGCTATGAAGAATAACAAGATTATTGTTGGGAGGAACAAAACTTTGAGCAGAGTAGGTTGGAAGCCGCCTGAGACGAATTGGGCGAGTCTCAACACTAATGGTGCTTGAGTAGATGGTAGAGAGTCAGGATGCAGAGGCATAATAAGAACCACAAACACTGAGTGTATAGGATGTTTTGCCAAACATCTTGGTAATTGTAGTATGGTGAGGGCAAAAATTTGGGGAGTGTATGAAAGGCTTAAGCTTGTTATGGAGATGAGAGTGTCAAAAGTAGTCCTTCAAGTGAATTCCAGCACTGTCGTATACTTGATAAAATCAGGTAATAATTTGGGCACAGATAGTTTCTCCTTATTAAATTATATTCGGTGGATGTTAGAGAAGATTGGAGAGGTTAAAATATCTCACAAATATAGAGATGCAAACCATTGTGCATATGCTTTGGCTAAGTATGAATGTACTAGTGGTGAACATTTGAGATTTCGTGAAGATTATCCGAAGTTTATTAGGCATTTCGTTCTTTTTGATGCTATGAGATCCTTTGTTCCGAGGTTGATTTTGTTGTAGTTTTTCCTTTGTTTTGGGCCTCGAGCCTCTCTTTTACAACAAAAAAAAAATAGTGCTAAGTGGCTAAGTGGCGCATGAATCCTTAAAGTCTAGGGTTCGATCATGCCGTCTATCAAAATTTTGTTTTTCTTATTTTAAATAATTAATTTTTCAAATTTTCTAAAAATAAATAAATAATTAAAAATTAATAGAAAATAACTTGGAATTTATTATTGCAATTGTGACAATGACATCTCATCAAATCAAATGTCATTAGTGAAAAGACTGACATTTAATGTGTCTGATCTCAAAGTCATCTATTCCTACATACAAAGCCTTTTCCACTCATACTAGTAAGGAACTCCACATTGCTACGCAGTAGCGGGCCTTGGGGGCAACTATTTCAGGCCGACCCTAAACCTTAAGGAGAGGAAGGCCAATTGCGAAAAGGCCTAATTCATAGGCATATATGCTAGGTTTTTGAAGATCCTCAGCGTTAGATCTGATCGAAGTGTCATCCGCATTCTACGCATGATGATCTAGGGTGGTTATAACCACCATCCCTATATAAATCTCTCCTCGCGTTGAGTCCCAAGTATTATATTCATTCTCACACTTACATTATATCTCATTCATTCATTCATTGACCTGAACGCTAGAGTGTTAACTTTACAAGTCTGCCCCACTCTGCTGCATTAGAAGCCTTCTCCACCGCACTCGAGTCCTATTCCATTTCATCATCAACTATTTCTAGTTCTTGGACGAAATAGATATCTAACGCCCAATTTTACAATCTCCCATTGAACCCTACAAGGTTTTTTATGAACACAAATCCATTAAGGTTTCTTTTCTCCCTTAACTCGTGTGCCTTTCTCTTGTGCTTCTCACATCTTACCATATTTCTTCTCATTCATTTGCAATCCCTCCCTCTTATAGCTTCCAGATTATGAAATTTTATAATCTCAATTTTTCTATTTCTCTTTTAAATTTCGACTTTCTTATTATGTTATTGCGTTTTTCATAATCTCAATGGGTTGGTCTAGTGGTAAAGATTTGGGTCCTGAGTGCGTGCTCCTCTCAAAATCTCAAATTTGAATCTTGTTAGGTGCAATTTTTGTATTGAGACAAATTCATATAAAACTTTGTTCTGCCTTTAAACGACCTTCACAAATAAACAGTGAAACGATCCTTTTAGATTAATCAGCCGTAAGACCGACTATCAAAATTTGAAAAAATGAAAGTTTTATTTGCAATGGAACAAACCGACCTATTTGATTTGTTTATTTGAGGTGACTAAGGTTGAAAAAAAAATTATTCCTAGTTATATAACTACATGAGAATGAAATAATCTACAATAACTTTCATATTTTCATGATTTTATTCCCATGTAAAAAGGTGAGAATTTTCTTTCTCATAAAATTTTAATATAATTTTTTTTATAAAAAAATTTAACTACCAATATGCTTAGAAACATCAAATTATATTCAAACAATTTTTAAAAATAAATTGAAGAATAATATTTTTATTCTCGAATAACTTATTTTTAAAAATTAGTTATGAATCTTTGAAACAAACGTCTCTTAAGAATTTATTAAAAAAATAAAAAAAATGGTAAAGTTGAATTTAATTTGAGAAAAATATGGAAATAGAATAAAATTTAAGGGCTCCATTTGAAGAAAAAGAATTGAAATTTATTTTTTATTTTATTATCAAAATTAAAAAATAGCCACCTCATGAAAAGGGATAATTTATGTAACAGAGAATTCCAAACCGATTTTAAGAATAAACAGCAATAGTAATTGTATAATGATATTTAAATACTTAGTTATAATGTCATAGTAATAAACAGCAATAGTAATTGTATAATGATATTTTGGTTGTTATAGTAAAAGACAGAACATGTGCAATTTTTAACATTGTCGATCTTGTTTCCACTTTTCTGCCTCGAAATTCTGTTGAAAATAATTATTCAACATTTAATTCTGTCTCAAATTGGGACGACTTAAAATTATTTAATTTAAGAATTTAATTGAAATACCTTAATGTTTTTTATACAATATATCTCATTGATATTTTATATAATTTGGCAGATAAAAAATAGACTATACCATCATGAATATTTCAATAAAATATAATTACAATAATAATTGAATGCTTCTTATATTTATTTATTTGTTAAATATAATTTCTATTCTTTTTCCCTTGTTCTTTCTCAACCCTGTAAAGTCGCAAATCCATCAAAATCCCAAATCTTAGGGTTCCGATGTCCAATCCAACGCTTCATTTATGAAGGTGATGATTTACCTTTATTCATAGATCTTCT